GTTCTACCGCACCACCTGAGGCCTGAACTTTTGCCGTACCACCACCTGAGGCCCGAACTTATGTCGTACCACCACCTGAGGCCCGAACTTATGTCGGATCATCACCTGACTCCTAGACTTCTGCCGGACCACGACCTGACGCCCGTATTTCTAGCGGAGTACTGCCCTACTACTACGATTTCTGACCCCAATCTCCTGCCGACTATGGTCCTTTCGACCTTCATCACATACTAAAGTTCTTCTGACCTCCATCAACAGACAATGGTCTTTCTGATCCCGATCTTCTGCCGATTACGACCTTCTGACCTTCCTCGCCAGATAATGATCTTTCTGAACACTACCTCCTGTCAACTATGCCCTTCCGACCTCCGTTGCCTACTATGATCTTTCCGACCTCTATCTAATCGGCTATGGTCTTGCCGGCCAAACAAACATGTCGTTGATTATTATCCCACAATGTAATGTGCTCTATATGGTGTACATTTGTGACATCAAGCCTATAAAACCCCTCAGATTTTCATTTTTTTTAGTGATGTTAGTCCGTATGAATTGACTTTAGTACGGGACAAACTGAAGAAAATTATGAGAAATCTATATGGTTCGTCTGTACAAACCTGTACGAACCGTCGGGACGAAATTCATTCAGAGAGCAATTCATCCCAGTACGAAATTTGGTTCGTTTGTATGAAATTCGTCCAGAGGACAAATTGTCCCGGGACGAATACACTTTGTCCAAGACGATCTGCATGTGTATATATTGAATTGAGATCTTTTTGTTAAGAGAGAGAAAGCTTGAGAGAGAAAGAGAAGGAAAGAGAAGAGGAAGACTTAATTTCGGAGGCCGCAGAGCGCTTTTCGTCCGTCGCCGCTGTTAGAAGAATTGTTTATCTCGCAGTAAGGAATTCGAATCCTATTTCTGATTTCGAACATTTTGTGTTTTGATATTTTTCTGCTCCGTTTTGTGTTTCCATTACCGAAAAACATGCATATCTTTGTATTGACAGAATTTTTACCGCGTAACTTTTGGTATGTTATGAAAATGATGATTTTGCACGATTTGAGTATTTTCTGGAAAGTTTTCACCTGGTATTTTGAATTCTGTGGGATTTTTATCGAATGGAAAATTAGTCGGATGTTGAAAAATATTGATTCAGTACAAGTAAAGTTTTGAAACGTTGTTTTACGCAATTTCTAGTAATTTAATAATTTTCTGGATCTGTGCATTTTACAACGACTTCTGTCAACTATACGATATTTTAAGGGGTTTTCTAAATTGAGCCAAATCATGTTTATTGGTTGCAATGTGTGGATGATAATGATGAATGTGGTTATATGATTGAGATTATTATGATATTACTGTGATACTACTGTGTGTGTGAAAGATAAGTAAGAACTGGTTGAACCATTGGTTGGAGACTGATTGACCTGTACAGGATGGTGGGCCGACGGGCTTTTCTTTAAATACAGTTTGGTGTTATCCTCTACTGATCACGTGATTACTGAAGGGAGTTATAAGGGGATGATTACTGTGCCGACGTTCAAAGAGTGACGACTCTTTTCACTGAGCCAACGGAAAAGATACAAGTTATATGATACAAGACTGAAAAACGTACATCGTAATAGCCAGAGCTTTTACTTGTTGAGTATGTTGTGAGTATGATTATTGATTATTGAAATACATGTGTTTAATCATTGTTCTATCGTTATTGTAAGAATTTATCATTATTGTACGACTTTACTGTTAATGCATGATTTTACTATTATAGTATTACTGTTCATGTCACTAGATTGTTACTGATACTGATACTGACACTGATACTACTGATTCACTTTATTGACGTTATGCACGTGATATACTGTGTAAGTGACATGTGATTCACTGAACACGTGATATAGATTATTGGATTGTGTGTGATACACTAAGCACGTGATATTGGATAACTGAATTGTAAGTGTACATCTTGATACGATTCTACGGCATTGATCGATTCCAACTATTTCAAATGATGTTATGATTTTATTTCATTGATTTGATATTTTATACCGACTGATATTCTTGAATCGATGAATTCTTTTTATACGATTGATATTATTGACTGATTTGATTGATATTACCGATACAAAAATTTCTTTAACGGTTTAACTGAAATTTTAGATATGAAGATTTGTCTACTGATTGACTGTTGTTATTGATACGACTACTACTGTAGAGATTTTGAGATTTATGAACTTTTATATCGTTTATTGATTCTTCCACTGATACTGATAGCTTCACATGTTCCTGTATTGATTCCTGTTATTATACTGATTACTGCTTATGTATTGATTTCTGTTTATGCATTGACTCAATGATCATGTGTAAGTGACTACTATGATATGACTGATTAACATGCATATTGATTCCGTACAGTGCTTTGATTTCAGTTGTAGGTATTTGGTGACCTGCTGGGCTTTTTGAAGCTCATTATATGTGGTTAATATTTTCAAGTCAGGGCAATGGAGCAGGAGATTGAGGTTAATCAGGAATCTTCAGGTTTTTGTCCTTTTGTTATAGTGATTCTTTTTGTACTCAAGACATGATGGATTATATGTGATTAATGTGTAGATCCTGAGTATTGTAAATGAACTTTTGGAAATGAATAGAAATGTTTACATGATGTTTTAAATTGTAGATTTTGTTAGACTGTTTATCACTTATTGATGACTATAGATGGCTCTGGAAGATTGACTTAAAGGATTGACTGAATAATTCTTTCCAAGTTAGATCTTGGGGCATCACAAAGCCAATGTCTTATCCCAAGGAATGGCCTATTTGTAATCGACTGTAAATATACTAGTGGATTTATTCAAATTGAGCCAAGCCCCGTTGTTTTTTCCCTTTCTCGGATTTTCCAAATAAAAAATATTGTGTTCTTCATATGTGAGCTGGATATCCGTGCGCTAAAACGTAAAATTATAACTCTATCGCCGCGTATATTCTAGCCGCAACAATAAGGAATCATTTTTTTAAATGATAAAATTTAATTTTTCCATAACACATTGCTTAGTACTGATCCAACTAACAGGCCAAGAAGAGCTTCGTATGGTTGGTTCAAAGTTCTGAAAACCTTTCTTTTTTTTTTCTTTTTTTTTTTTTTTGAAATTTTGAGTAAATTTATATAAACTCACACACATCACATACGCAAACTTCGAATCCATGACCTCTTAAATTAGTAGCCAAAACTTCCAGCCAATAGATCAAGATGAGCTTCCTAAGAGCTATTTTTTTAATATCACGTATTTGACCCACATATTTGTTCCTCACCTATAACGTCCTGAATTACCAAATCCTCTCTCTCCTCCTAAATAATCAAGCCTAAATAATATTTTTCTATTCTAATACATTGCTTAGTCAGATCTTGAATTTAAACCACACATTATATCCCCACTTATAACCGCCTAAGTAATTAAACCTTCTCTTTCTCTCTACTCTATATCCTTCTCTCTCATCCCATCACCTCTTATTCAATTCCCACCATGGCCACTATCTCCATCTCAACCATCTTCACATTTCCTCTCCTCCTCCTCCTCTTCCTCCCAATCAAAGCTGACTACTTTCTTCCATCTTCGACGACAATCGAATACCGACAAATAGAAGGCGACGCCATTGCTGCCCTGCAACGCAACCACAGCGTTTTTGCTCCTTACCGCACCTGCTCTAATTGCAAGTGTTGCTCGCCTGACGACTCCAAGATCTGCTCGATGATGAAATGCTGCTTCGGCATAGTCTGTAACTTACCAAACAAGCCTTTTGGGTATTGCTCATTCATGCCTTTGTCTTGCCACTGTAACTCTTGTAACTGACTTCCTTCAACAGTTTTAAAGGTTTTATTAGAGATTTAGATTTATTTGGGATAACTTTTTTATTATCTTTTAAAATAATTTTTTTAGTACATTTTTTTTTAAAAAAATTGTACTAAAAAACTGTTTTATAAAATAATGCTAAAGCTGTTACAAATGAAGCTTTTATTCTGGCTGAAATTGTAATTGAAGTAATTGGAAATTAAATGAAATAAATAACTGAGTGAGAGTGATTTATGGTATATATATATATATATATATATATATAATTTAATTAATTTCCATATATAATATTTATTATATCAAAAAAATTTCATATTAATTTCTTTTAAGGATGCGTACAAGATAGTGAAACCTGGCTAAAGTTAAAAGTCCTGTATATAAAACCGATAATTGATTCAATCCAAAGTACAACCAAAATTAAAAAAGGAATGCATTTGAAGTAAAAATTAACAGAAGGTATGAATATGAGGAAATAAAATAAAATTTCTTTATTGCTCCATCACTCTCATTATACGCATTAATGTTCTATATATTTGATGAGGGTCTCAGATGCAATTTGTCGAATTCATTTTCAAAATTAAAGTTTAATTTGTGACGATTTTAAACAGTTTTTTTATAAAAAAATTTAATTTTTGTACTAA